TTGTCTTCTATCTCGTCTGGAACACGAGCCCCACATCCTGCCAGACGCTGTTCCTCTTTCCAGAGACAAACATGACCAACTTCTCACCTATAAATGAGTCTAACTAATGTGTGTGTGTGTATGTGTTGACCTTACATGCTCTCTCTTCTCACCCATTGCACTTCTGACCTTTTACCAGACCAGAGGCTCATCCTTATGTGTAATAACCTAACTGAAACTTTATGTACTATGTTGAATAAATGTTTTAATCAAGAACCTCTACTAAAAGCTTAATAAATGAGTATAAAAGTATAACAGACAATTTGAATAACCTAGTAATTCAAATAGCCTCGTCTAACCTGCTCCTCAGAATAACTTAGACTCTGCTTTCACTTCTGCAAACTCTCTGCAACTTCCTGTCAACTCCTGCAACTTAGTCTTTCTGAAAGACACACACACTGTTTAAACCTCAGAATGCAATATCAATGATGCAGATTATATTATTAATGCAATGGTAATGATGATGATTATTTAACAATAGCAGTAAAGTAATTTCCCTGCTCCACACACGTAAAAAGACCGTTACAATAATCCAAACGAGAAGAAATAAAAGCATGAATAATCATCTCAAGTTCTGCCTTTTAGATGATAAAAACAGTTCCGGACAAGTTTCCCCTGGCATATTGCCTGCGCTTTGCCGGTTTACGCGCCACCTGGACCTCGCTGTGTCTGATGCTCAGCCAGCGAGTGAGTGTTCTCCAGCCTAGTGTAGCCTGTTCTTTCTGGCATCTTGCCCGCAGTGCACGGTTTACACGGCCAGCAGGGCTCCTGTCATTGCTCGAGTGGGGCGGCTTCTCAGCTCTGACTGCAGCTTAAGCTGCTGCCACTGCTACTGCCGCTGCTACTGCTACTGCGGCAGCTTCCGGCTGTGTTCTCCTGGCATTTTGCCCACGCTTCGCCGGTTTGCGCCCGCTTGACCTCACTGTGACTGATGCTCAGCCAGCAAGTGAATGTTCTCCGGCCGGCAGCACCAGGCTCCCTGCAGGCGGTTCACCTGTTACATGTTGGCCAGGCCTCGCTGTGTCTGATAAGCCAGCCAGCGGTTGTGTTGTGTTCCAGTCTGCGGCACCGGCTGTACCCAAGCAGCAGCCCTGGGTGACCTGCGGGTCGCGTCCCTGGTTTGGGGTTCCTCTCCAGCGGCTGCACTGCAGCTGCAGGCTGTGTTCCCTGGCGTGTTGCCCGCATTTGCCGGCTTGCACGCCAGTCGGGCCTCACTGTGTCTCATGCCTCAACCCAGGAGTGATTGTTCCCCAGCCTACGGCGTTGGCTCCCTGTCTGGTGTTACCAGCTTCTTGCAGGCACGCAGGAGGGTCCACTCTCAGTGACTCGGTGAGCTACGCTTCCTCTCCTCTCTCTGCTCCCGGGATTCCGGATTTGTATCCTGGGCACCAAAGGCTCCAGCTGGAGATCCTTTGGGAGCGCACGCACAGGCTTGTCCTAGACCGCCCGTGCTTCTGGCATTCTGTCGCTCCAACGGCACGCCGCGGGCTGCAGTTGTTAGACCTTGCTGTGTCTGACATTTCAGGCAGTGAGTGATGTCTGCAATGTTGGATCCCTGTTGGTTCTTGCCTGTGTGTGACGGACTTACACGGCCAGCACGGGGATGCCCAGTAGCTGGGATTTTGTCTGACCTCGAGTGTCTCGTTGCGAGTTCACTCTTGAGGCTCCTATGTCTGCGGACAAGCGTATGATGAGTATGAGCGTATCTGCAGGCTGCTGCCTCCACCCCCTGGCTCAGCCTTCGCATTGCGAAGCCCTGACCAGGGTGGTGTCTCTATTGGTGCGTTGTCACTGACTCCCGGCACCTTCACTCTCCGCGGTTCAGTTGCACAGTCCCCTCGCGGGGTGTCTTACAGAGTTACCTCGTACATATGGAATATGTAACGGTGTGGAGAGAGAGTCTCGATATGCTAGAGAACATACGGTTATGGTGTAATCTTGGTTCTCTTAGTGAGAGACTATCTTTCGTGCCAGAGTGTCTTAAAGAAATATTCGCATGCCACGACCAAGAGGGGCCGTTCCCCGTACATATGGAATATGTAATGGTGTGGAGAGATAGTCTCTCACTAAGAGAACCAAGGTTACACCGTAACCGTACGTTTGTTGAGTTTGCTCCTCTTGTCAAACACTAGATCTCCAAGCAGCATCTGAAACATGAACTCACTCAGTGTTATGGATGACCATTAGAATTAATTACTCATTTATGTAATGTGCCAGCAGGTTCAACCACCTGTGCAAACACACACACACACACACACACACACACACACACACACACACCAGTGAACCAGTGAATATGTGATAAACAAATGGTTTCTATAAATATTTGACAGGCGTGAAATGCAGAACAACAACATAAAAAAATCATGTTCATGTTACAAAAAAAATTGTGTGCAGTTATAACATAGAAAACTATGGTTGACAAAACACAAGTTGATTGCGTGCAACTGATGTACATATTTTTGTAATATTATTCCAACATGTTATTTTTTTCATTGTACTAAAAAAAGTATTACAGAAAGTGATCACTCATTAATATGAAAAATAACCTACACAGCTAACAATCCATATTAAACAGAAATTTTAATACCTTGTATATAAACCCTTTAAGTAAAGAAAGACTGGCTTATCAGAGTCAAACACAATGACATTTACAGAATTCTTTGCGGTGTGAAGACTTGTGAAATACTGCAGATTCTAATCAGTCGTTGAGTTTAACAAATTTGTTTTGTTATAATTATAATATTGGATATTTATGATAAAAATACAGTATTTGAAAAACATATATAGTTTAGATTCGTCCCTATAATTATTCTTGTACCTCTGCTCCAGAAACAAACTATTTAATGAGAAAAAACTCTTTTGAAGAAAAAACAATCTTTGTTTCTCACCTTTGAAAAAGAATATGATCATCACATTGAACCAGCACACAAGCTGTAGGAGAGCCACTGCTAACTACAACTCTGCCCCCATTGTCTTAGACTTTAAAAGCCAAAAGAATATGCTCAGCTTCTATTGTCACATGCTTTACCGTAACCAACACCTTGGTTACCACAGATTTTTATCTGTGAAAAGCGCTATATAAATAAATTTTACTTACTTCCTTACCTACACTTCGTGTAGTTGACGTGTGATTTAAAAGAATAAAAGATAAAAACTAGAAGAACCAGACTTCATAATTTGGCTGAATGCAGTGAAGGAATGCATTTACATGTCTAGGTAGATGACACACAGTTGGAAGGTTGTCTGTTAAGCTATGAAGTCTTAAAAATAAGATTTAAGATTTTTATTACTATTGTTGTTGGTTACGGTCGTGGTTTATATTGTTATTAATAAGGTGTGCTTCTGTTTCATTGGCAACTTTAAAGTTAATGAATATTTAAGTTCACAGGACTTCTGGGAGTTCCCCTCCTCATCTAAATTAAGCCTCGTGCTTTCTCTTTACTGGTGTAGTCGTGGGCTGGCTTTTCCCGTTGCATGGGCCCACCTCCAGGCAGAGTTGTTTTCTTAAGGCTGTAGCTGACACACCTGTTTCTTGGGCCACAAATAACCTTCCTGTCACAAGCCTGAAGCTTCAATCAGCATTTTGATGAAGTGACTTTCATATATCCTTTATTTATCTAATTAAAAAGTCTCATTGACATTGTTTTTTAAGAGTGCTCTGACAATGAGGGGAGCAGAAATTGCAACAAATGTAACATGAAGGTTCTCAGTCATCCAGGTCACCGAAGTCTATGGAGCTTGGAAAGAAAAGCATCTGGACTTGTTTAAGTTCGTTGAAGATGTTTCACCTCTCATCGGAGAAGCTTCTTCAGTTCTAGGGTCAAATGGTGGAGAGTCCAAAATTTAAGCCCCATGGGAGTAGTTTCATGTCGGTTACACTTTGACATACGTTTCTGCTCAGCCTCACATTTGCCAAAATCCGCGTTTGGTCTGGACACAAGACGTCGCACAGCTTCATCATGCAGCTCTTCAGAGTGGTACGGGGCTGATTTGGCTATCTCCTCTGCTACAATAAAACTTGCTTTCACAACAACAGCTTCACTTTGTGACTTTGCCCTGGTGAAAAACGTCTGCTGAAATGTTAGATTGTTCTTTAGCTCTTCCACTTTCTGTAGTTTTTGCTCTGCATTTAGGTTTTTCAGCTTATCGTGATGTTTTGTCTCGTAGTGCCATCTTAAATTAAATTCCTTAATTACAGCCACATTATGTCACGGACCCAGCTCTGGAGGACTCGGGGTCCGTGAGCAGTTTTGACTCACCTCCCGTTGATATTGATGTTATTATTATTTTGGTGGTGTGTGTGTTTTTCTGCACTGTGCTGTGTTAGTCTGTGTCCCACTCATATGTATAGGCAGGGTATGGGTATGTATGTCTGCAGGTGTGGCTGGAGGATGGAGCTCAGCCACCTGCAGGCCTGAGGGGTGTGGCCCTGCGGAAGGACTGGCCACACCTGAAGTTCATGCCACACCTGTTGGTGATCAGGGCTCGTCGGGGGAGCTACTTAGGAGAGAGTTGGAGCTCCCACCGACGCAGGATCATTAAGCTAAGACTCCAAGTCAGTGTGTAGCATTAGGAAGTGCGGATCGTGTGTGTGCGCGCGGGTTTAGTGTTTAACGGCTGCTTCTGTATTGTCCTGCAGGTGAAACGAGGGACCAGAAGGGCAGCACGCACAGGGTGTGCAGTAACACAACAGCGGGGAGCACGAGCACGAGCACAGACGTCGGAGGGAAGCACGCACACGGGGTTCGAGGGAGCAACGGGGAGTTATTGTGTTTACAGCTTTCCACTGTAAATAAAGAGCACTGTTTGCATCGCAGAGTCTGCGTTTTGGGTCCTCCTTTCCCCACATCCCCACGGTCTGCCCTCCAGACCGCGACAGAATGATCCTGCCAACCACCATGGACCCAGCAAACTCAGGAGTTGCCACGGAGGAGAGATCTCTCGCGCAGCTATGGGATTACTGCCGGAGCGTGATCCAGGCTGTAGACCCATACAGGAGACACCTACAGGTAGTGTTCCTTGACAATTACCTCACATCCACTACCCTCACCATGAACATTTTGGACATTAACAAACTTAGGCAATTGATCACTAGTTTAAGGGAGAGCTCGAGTTTTGAATTATTTAGCTTGGGTGGCCCGAGCACGGACAGTTCGGCTGCTCTCCTAGAGACTCTTGCCGCTTGGTTTTTCACGCGTCGGCGGAGGGCTTTCCCGTCGATGCTCGCGGCACAATCATTTGATCCGCCATTACAGAAGGCATGCCGCACTCTCCACCGCCATTCCATTACGCCTCAACCTACTCCTGCGGTTTCAGCCCGGTCAGCTGGCAACGGACCGACAGCGCTCATTACCGCAGTGAGTAAACCAGACTATATTGTTTCAATAATAAACCCTGTCATTTACGATCAAAACACAGATGAACAGCGGATTTCCATGCACGCGGCCCCGCCTTCACGGAGGAGAGGGCGTCCTCGCAAGCAGCGTTCAACCACATCCACACTCACTCCTGTGCTGGTCGAAGACTCAGGACCAGCGGCTCTGGACGCCACAGTGAGTAAAATGGACTCTGCCGGTGTTATGAATTCCCTTCCTGTAAACACGACAATAGAAACTGTTTGCTGTTCCTCCAAAGACTCAGAAAATGTTCCCTCTGAGACTGTAAGCTGGGAGCTGGGGAGTTCCGAGCATACAGACCCAAACGACTTTTTGGCTCAGTCTGACCGTATGGAGACGGAGGTTCTCCCCAGGGCTTCCCCAGAGGCCAAACTGGAGGTCTCAGTTGCCTCTGGACCCCTGGAATTTGTTGAGCCAGCTGTAACATTTTCATCCTCTCCACCCTTCATAATAGCCATCTCACCCTCACCTCAGCCTGCTGCCCAGCTGGTAGCTCAGTCTTCAGTCCAGTCAGCCTCTCACCTTCATCCTCAGTTGGAGGTCGATATGCCGGCTGGACCACCTCTGCCATCATTTCACCCATCTGTCCCTGCATCGCTGTCCAGTCTGCTGGGAGTGGCTGCCACACCATCTTCGCCTCCGGATCATCCATCTGTGGCTGAGGCACAGCCGGAGATGCCCGCATGGCCAGCTGTGGAGCCCTGCGAGCCGGCGCAGGAGCCCGGAGAGCGGGAGGCGGGGCAGGAGCTCAGAGAGCGGGAGGTGCCCGCACGGCCAGCCGTGGAGCACTGCGAGCCGGAGCAAGAGCCCGGAGAGCGGGAGGAGC